CATGCATTTGACAGACCTTCCAGCTGCAGATTTTAGTGTCCTCGGGAAAAGGCCAACGCTGCAAAGGGATGCTGACAGTGAAGGTTTTGCCTGCACCCTCCAGCCAAGTCTCCTTCCCGTAAGGCTCCCCTACCCTGGGAACAGTGGAGGAGTCTGCATCTATCCCCAGGGAAACAGCTGGGGTAGGCTGCAGGGCAGCTGGAACATTCAAGCTCCTATAGGAGGAGAGCCCTAGGGAGGGAGGCACCTGGGGACCCTGCTGGAGTGAGCAGGAGCAGGCAGGAGCTAGGTTCACTTTTGGTTCAGACAGAAGACACAGAGTATCACCATCTCAGAGGATCTGGTCCCTGGGAGCAAGGTGATTCAGGTCGAGGCTAAGGGATTCAACTTACTCTATGAAATCATTTCCCCACGGCCCAGCCCATTCTACTCCATTGGACAAGGTGAGGGGAGGAGGCAGGTGGGTACTGGGGATGTCTGTAGCTGGGAAAGGGTGGGACACAGAGGTAACTCCTATCAGAAAGGTTGGTGTTGAGAGCCCCGACCTTAAAGAAAGAGGCGGGAATGATCAGAACTCGCCCTGGGGCAGTTGGTGGAGAGCTGGACTGAGCTGGGGCAGGGAGGAGCTTTGTTTCTTATCCCTTCCAGCTGACGGGGTAGTGCGGACCACCATGCCCCTGGATTTGGCTCGCGCTCAGGGCGCTGGAGTCATGAAACTTCAGGTGAGGGCCTTTGAGAAGCTCCGGCCTTGGGCCAGTGCCGAGTTCGATCTCACGGTTAACGTGCGGGCGGTCAACCAGTGGCCCCCACGCTGCCATCCAGCGCTACTGGTGTGAGTACCCGGAAGCCATGACAGGGTTGGTTGGGGTGAGATTACTTGGCTCACCATTGGTCCAGACTCCTGTCTTGCCTCCCGCCCTCCACTCCCAGGACTCAAATCCCAGAGACTGCACCTGTGGGCACTGTGTTGAACTCGCTCACTTGTGTTGACCCAGACTCTACCAGCGCGCCCCTCAACTACCAGGTGCAGTTCCACAACCCTCCCGACTCTGCCAGCCTCCGTCTTCGTGACAGAGTCCTTGAGGTGCCCAACACCCACTCCTAGATTCCCATGCAGACAAGGTGGGTGGACCAAGGTTGGTTGGCATTGAGACCATGGAGGTGGGATGGAGTATGTTTGTGAAGACAGCCTGAGTCTGGAAAACTAGGTCAAGGTAGGCTATGCGTGGATACCCTGGCTTGAGGTACTGTGACTCAAGTTCTTCCAGATCCTGGGTTCATCTAACTCTCTGGTCCCCTTGGCCAGGTGAATACCACACTGGACTGTGACACTCCTGGGGCTTGCTTCCAGCATGCAGCTTCCATCATGGTGTTCGATAATGGTCAGCCCCAGATGACCAGTGAGTGACCATACTTAGGCTTGAACATTCAGGACAGGGCTATTTTGTCCACGCCTTTCTATCCCCCAGACGTAGACAGCTTTCTTCCCTCAAAAACTACATCAGGGTTGTCTCAGTTTAAGATCCCTAGGGTGTCTCTCAAGACCCCCCCACCACCACTCTGGGTGGTGGTGGCGCACACCTGTAGTCCCAGCACTCGGGAGGCAGAGGCAGGAGAATCTCTGAGTTCGAGACCAACCTGGTCTACAGAGCTAGTTCCAGGACAGGCTCCTAAGCCACAGAGAAACCCTGTCTTGAAACCTATCCCCCTCCCCCAAAAGAACCCTAGGGCAGGCCTGGGTACCTCAGGCCAGCTCCTTAACTGCCAAATGGTCCCCAGCTGAGGTTCCGGTACTGGTGATGGTAACACCCGTCAATGAGTTCTCCCCAGCCTGTGTCCCACGTACGTTCCGAGTTCGGGAGGACGCAGGGCCCCTCACTCTGCTGGGCTCCATAGTGGGCACGGATATGGATTACCCTCATAACAGCCTTGAGTACTACATCTCTGGTGGACCCTCCACCTTTGCTGTGGATCGTCTCAGTGGTACTTAAACCCCAGGGCTGGGAGGGGAGGGAAGGGGCCAGAGTTGGCTCTGCAGGTTAAGGCTGGGACCATCTCTTCTAGGAGAGCTTCATCTCCTGGGACCTTTGGACTATGAGCAGCAAAGATTGTACAGGATCACTGTTCTGCTGATTGATCACAGCCAAGACTGGAACCTCAACCACCATCGCTCAGGTTCATGTACTGTAACCATTGAGGTTGAGGTAATTGACCTCCAAGTCTGGGGAAGACTAACTTCCCTCTGGCCTTTTGCTTGCATTTCCATGCCTCTCTCTCTCTCTCTCTCTCTCTCTCTCTCTCTCATTTTTTCATTTTTTTGAGACAGGGTTTCTCTGCATCCTGACTGCCTGGAACTCACTTTATAGATCAGGCTGGTCTCAAACTCAGAGATCCACCTGCCTCTGCCTCCCTGAGTGCTGGGATTAAAGGCGTGCGCCATCACTGCCCAGCGATGTCTCATGTGGGCTGGTCCAGGGAGGGGCTCACTGTGGAAAACTTACCACCTGTTGCTTGCCACTTAGGTTCAGTGTTTTCAAAGGAGGCTGAGGGGCTAGCCCGGGAGTTTGAGGAATTGGCTGTAGTCACTCCTAATGTGGTGGCCTTTCTCCAGGATGTGAATGACCATGCCCCCGAGTGTGAGCCTCCATTTCAGGAACTCACCATCTACACTCCCTTGGGTCGTAGCATGGAGGTGACCAAGGTGTCATGCTGGATCCCTGAGGAGCCACAGCGCTCAGCGTTCTCCTACAGCATCGTAGGAGGTGTGACTATGGGGGGGGGGGCTACCAACCTGTTGGTGAGGGGCAGGCTAACGTAGTGTAACACCTTCTCCTACCACTCTGCTTTCAGGGAATAGCCGGAGCCAATTTAGACTGCAAGGGAGCGTCCTGATGTACAATGACACTGTACTGGGGCCTCCATGGCCAGAGCAGCCCTGCACCTATGAGCTATTGGTCCATGTTGCTGATGTGGGCCCTTCCGTCCCCCACCTCAGCACCACGGCCACCATCATTGTGCATCTAGTTCCTTGGAGGGCCAGCACTGTGGCCACCAGCACCCACAGAAGCACAGTGAGGGGGTTCTCAGGCTCTTGGGGGTTGGGAGAGAGGATCTTGAAGGGTGAAGACACCTGGCTTTTTAGATGGAATTATGAGAGAAAACATTTTGGAGAAAACTGCTAGGTGCAAAAAGTAAATCTGGGGTATGAGGTGCCCTCTTCATAGAGGATTTGAAAGCTGGACTGTCATGGCAGTGGCAAGTCTGTGGCCCTCTTTTTAGGTGTCCTCAACAATGACACCCCTGATTGTGACAGACGTAGAGACTTTCTGGAAGCCAGAGCCTTGGTTTGTGGTAGTGCTGACGACGACTGGTGCAGCTTTCCTCCTGGCTCTGGGCTGGCTCCTCAGCAGGGTTCTAAGGAGGTATGTTTTATCTCTGCGCTCTCACTTCCCAGCCTACATAGAGATACTGGCTGGAATTGGTAGTTTTGCTCGATATTTGATGACACTGCTAACACTGGTGGACAAACAGATTGAGGGGGCTGCTGCTGTCTCTCCAGAAGTATTAAGAATGAGACACTGGAAGTGGTCTCCATCATTGGTGGAGTCCAGTTTTGGAGTTGGATGGATAGATAGCTCAGAGCTTGAAATTTACCCATTCCCAACATCTGTTTTCTTCCTGATATCTGCCCTGCTTCTGTAAATTGAATCCTCTGAGTCTAGGGGTAGGGCAGATAACAGTGTGGACATCTCACACAGGCACTGGCTGTTCCTAACATAAAATGACATGATAACACTACTCCTTAGTATTAACAGGCCTCTACTTTCACTGCTTCTTCCTTCTGGCATTTTAGGTTTGCCCAGTCATTACAGGCACCTAACAAACCAGCCAGAGCTCTGTTGCTAAACAGGTCAGTCTCCTTTGCTTACCTTATGTCTTGGGAACCCATCTCCTAAACTTAGGCTGGGGCCCAGACTCTTATCTTGTACTTCTACTCCGATTTGCTACAGCATCCAGGGAAATGAAGGATCCATTGAGAGGCTCAAGGAGACACCAAGAATGGAGATGTCCCAGGTACCCAGAACTTCCATGAGTCTGCTATGCCAGCTCATATCCCAAATTGAGGGCACTGAGGCTGCTCTAGGAGTACTCCCTATTCTTGTAAAGCCTGCCTTCCTGCCTGTGAATGGCTATCCCCGTGTGGTGGCCCACACCACCACCAAGATAGCAGAGGCAGGTGGGCACAAAGCCCTTCCATCTGCTCCCTGTGGGCAAGGTTCAACTCACTGTGCCATTTTATTCTTTTCAGCAGCATTTTGATGGCAGAGCCCACGATGTCTGTAAGTCTCTTTTGATAATTATTCTCTGCTTGGGCCCTCACCCTTTCCCAGAATCTTCTCTTTCCTTTACCCATCTCTTTTTTTACTGCCACCACTAAGCATCCATCATCTACATTTTCACAGACTGAGCTCTTCTCTTACCCCCACTCACCCTCTATCACCCCCTCACCTTCAGCCATCTTCCATCAAGAACCAATGGTGCCCAGATGACCCCTCAGACCTGGTCTTGTCCCAGATCACAGTGGGAGGGAGATGGTGGTAAGGGGAAAGCTCCCTAGATCTTCCAGTTTCACTAGTAAAATTGTAGCAGAGTAATCTGCCGTTAGCTGCTGTAGGGGAACTGGTATCCATTGGCTTTTTGTTCATTTGATTGGAACCTCAGGGTTCTTTGCTGAAAGGGAAAGGAGGAGATGAGTTGGATCCCTGGGGAAGGGGTGAGGACCCTGCTTAGGTCAATAGTCCCTTCTCCCCTCCTCTCTCCTGCACATCTGAGCTCAGGCACAGGGAGAGATTACCTGTTCAACACTCGCACCGGAGCCCGGCGTTGGCTCTGAGGCCAAGCAGCTGGCTCACTATGTGTGGAACCCTCTTTTGACATCATCATAGCCTGCATTTCCAAGTCGATTTAGTAATAAAGATTACAGACAGAACACTACCCACCTTTTTGTAATCTTTGTGTGGGAGAAGCTCTGAGATCTGTTTCCTGGTTCTTACTTGGAAAAAGTACCACCTCCTTGTGGGCACCCTATGGGACAGGAGATTATTTCTCTGTGAAGAAGTGAAGAAGCATTGTCTAATGCTCTGAGAGCAGACTGACACTTTGCAGAAGAGGCTCTTTGTTAGTAACTGATGGGCTTCCAGTTGTCTGTCTACTAAGAGATTTGCTGCTGCTGGTTTGTTTTTTGTTTTTTGTTTTTTTTTTTTTTTTTTTTTTGTTTTTTTTTTTTTGAGACAGGGTCTCACTGTCTAGGCCTAGTTGGTCTGGAACTCTCTATGTGGACCAGGCTGGTTTCAAACTCATAAGATTCATCTTTTGCTTCCTTAGTGCTGGGATTAAAGGTGTGTGCCACTATCCCCTGCAAGTCTTGGGTTTCTTGTTTGTTTTGGTTTTTCGAGACTGGGTTTCTCTGTGTTAAGTATTGGATGTCCTAGAACTTGCTTTGTAAAACAGGCTGGCCTCAAACTCATGGAGACCCACCTGCCTCTGCCTCCCAAGTGCTGGGATTAAAGGTGTGTGTCACCACCACCCAGCAAAATATTTGTCAATGTTTATTGAGACAGGGTCTCTCTCTCTCTCTCTCTCTCTCTATATATATATATATATATATATATATATATATATATCTCGGATGTCCCAGAACTCACTTGTAGACCAGGCCAGCCTTGAACCCACGGAGATCTGCCTGCCTCTACCTAGTGCTGGGATTAAAGGCATATACCACCTTGCCAGGCAACATTCTTAAAGACATGGTTTCCTTTGAAGTTTAGACTGGCCTGGAACTTGCATGCCTGCCTCAGTCTCCTGAGTCATGGCTGTCATGGCTGGCTTCACATTAGTGCATATATGTAAGTGCACATGCATCCTCAAGTATCACCTCCCTAACCCTTGAGATGGGGTCTCTCACCGACCTGAAACTCGCCAAGGCCAGGCTGGCTGACCACTGAGGCCTTGGGACCTGCCTGTCTTCCTTTCCCAGCACTAGGGTTACAAGTGAGTGTCAATCATGTCTAGCTTTTATTCTACTTTTAAGATATATTGTAGATTCTGGGGCTCTCCCTCTCCAGCTCAGTGTTTTTGGGTTTTGAGGGTCCCACCAGCTCTTATGGGCAGCTTGTCAACTTTGTGTAGAGGTTGTTGGGAAGGATCTGGGATTTCCACATGAAGTTAAGTGTGGGAGAGATGTGGGAATCTGTGCTTAACTAGTCATGGAGGGATTGATGAAAGCCTCTTTCTGATGGTGATTCCATGACTTCATATCTGTTCACTGACTCGGTATTGCGTGGCTCTTCCTGTGCTAATCTAGGTTGCACATAGCCAGGGGCCTTGCAACAGCCTGCAGAACAGATTTTCCTGTTTACAATGCTGACCCCATGTCCAAACTGGCACCATGTTTGTCTCCAAGAGTACCTGCTATCTGAATACACTTGACTATTATCTTCAAGTTATCTCAATCTTCCCCTTTTGTCAAATCTGTGGGAGAATCGGACAATCTCCATTCTGGGGCCAGTTATATTGCCCTAGGCTGAGGGAAGAGTATGAGTACCTTCTGGAAGGACATTCCTGTGGTCTTATTTTAGAGACAGGGTCTCAATGCAGCTCTAGCTGGCCTGGAACTCACTATGTAGACCAGGCTATTCTCAAACCCAGAGATTGGCTTTCCTCTGCCCCTCAAGATTGAAGGTATGTATTACCACCATGCCTTGCCCAGGAAGAAGACTCTAAGCATTTTTATGTGTCTGAATAGGTCGTATGTGTGCTGCTGCCCATGGCGTCGAGATGAGTGTTGGGTCTCTGAAAATGGAGTTACAGGCTGCTGTGGGCTGCCCGGTGTAGAAGCCGGAGGGCAGAACTCGGGTTCTCTGGCAGAACAGCAAATGCTCTTAACCTCTGAGCCATCTCTCCCAGAAACACTCATTATGGTGTCTCCATCAAAGCTTGAATGTTAGAGGCTTCAGGCCCAGCAGCCTGCGAGTGGCTACAGGGGGCTTTACCTGAGTACTTGGCTTATTTTAAGAGCTTATTGAGTTTTCCTCTTGTTCACCCTCATTTTATAGACAGGGCAAACAAGTCTCAGAAGCTAAAACTCGAAGTTCTAAAGTTAACTAGTCAGGGCATGTGGGACCAGGTGCTGTGGTGCCCTTGGTATCTTAACCTTGAAGTCAAGTCCTGGGCTAGGCCTACTGTGGAGAACAAGGGATGGGCATCTTCATGGGACTCAATAGTTTGCCTTGGAGACAGGTCATAATAGCCAAGGGCAAAAGGTACTGTCATAGGAACTTAAGGATGCTCTGGGGCAAAGAGGAATAACCACTGTGTGCTGAGACCTTGTGCCCGATGCAGATTTAACGCTATGCAAAATAAACCGGGGAAAGGGGAAGCTAGGAGCTGAGAAGGTAGCACAGAAGGCTGTGGCTGGGAGACGCTTAGAAAACACTGGTTAACTCTGGAGCTAGAGAAGGTGAGAGGCCCATCGCCACCACTTCCTAAGGCTGTGTGACCTTGGCTTCAACCTCTCTTCTGCGCCTCAGTTTCCTCACCAGTGGACTAGGGTAGATCCCAACCACAGAGGCAGACGACAAAGCAAATACCGTACCGTTGACATCCCTAAGTGTGTGCAAGAAGTATGATAAATGCAGCCAGCTCAAAACCCGAAAGTGTTGCGCAGGTGAGAAACGCCAGGGCGCTCTAGGCTAGCCT